GCACAAGACAGAGACAGAGAGAGAGAGCTGTTAACACTGGGGCTGGCACAACATGGCAAGATGAAGCTGCAGTAGAACCAGAAACCAGCACAAGACACCGTGGTAGGCTTTCCAGCTCACAGAGCAAGGCAGTTCCGGTAGCTTGCTGACCTGAAGGAGCGGGGACATCTGGGCCCACTTCTCAATGGAGCTAGAGCTTTCCCTAGCAGGACAGAAGCCAGCCCAAAGGGCCAAGGGGTCCGTCCTAACCAAAGAGTTTTCTTCTGAGTCATTCCTGGTCCTGAATCCTTCCCTAATGACCCCGTGGATATGGTCTGTGAGTTCTGTGTGACCAGTTGGCATCCATCAAACCCAGCAGAGAAGCAGAGTGCTCTAGAACGGAAGGTGAGTGGAGGCATGCCTGACCTCCACCTCGCAGGGACCGGACTTAGACTGGTGTTGATGATAATTCTCTCTTTTCTACCTTATGAAATCAGACAAGGAAGTCAAATGGCCAGGCCACTAGGCCATTTTTACCATCTTAAAACAAAACCCCCTTGATCCCCATCTGCCCATTTTTCTGATCCCCTGCTCACTCTCCATTTCCCTCGACGCTCAGTTCTCTCCACCAAGGTCACTGCCAGCCACTCGCTGAAGTGCTCTCGCCAGCCCTAAGGGCCAAGCCGCCTTTAGAAGCAGCTTCTTCTCTTGTCCCCATACCAGTACTCTTGTTTTCCTCCTAAGGCTTCAGATGCCCCATGCTAGCTTTGCTTCCTCACCAAGATTTAAACACTGGACACCACAGGACCCAGTCATGTGTCATGTCTCCCAACAACTTCGAATGCCACGGTGTCTCTATTACTCCCAACTGTACGTCTTTAACCCAGACCCAGGGATCCCGATCATAGATCCAGCTGCCTTTTTAATATTTCCACTTGGATATCAAAAAAGTACAAAAATACTAAAGAACTCTTGATTCTCACCCCCAATTTGCTTTTTTTTTTTTCCCAGTGCCCCTTCTCTCAGTAAACTGGTTTAAAACTAAACTAAGACTCCATCCCTGACTTGCCTCTTTCTCTCAAGCTCCATGTCCAAATCACCCACAATTCTGTGGGATCTACCTTTAAAATACACCCACGACTCATGGTGAGAGAGGAAATCTGAGATGGAGTTAGGGTCAAAAATAAGATAAACCTCTCGGGAGAGAATAAAACAAGAGTGACAAGAAAGCCCCCTGTTCAAACCCCGATGCCACAGCGCATGACGAAATCCCATGCTGAGCTATATTCAATAGTCAGTTATTGGAAGATGGACTTCGTTCAGATGAAATTAACAAATTACGAAGCAAAAAAACAAAAAGAATGAGATATTAGTCTTAGCAATAAACAGCTACTAAGACGCTTTTAGAATACAACAGTTACAGATGACGCACACTCTGGGCTGGGGCCCTCGGGAAGCAGCAACCAGTACTAAGGCTAACACTACAGAACTCACTCACTCACTCACAAGCTCAGAACATAAGGAAGAAAGTGCAAGAGCAGTTAAGTTAAATGGAGTTTCAAGCAGAGTCCAGAACACACCAAAACTGGCTTCCAGAAGAAGAAAACAGAGGCAATGACGAAAGCATGACATGTGAAGAGACAGCAGAGGAGAAACTTCCAGAATTAGAGACGGAAGTTCTCAGATTTAAAGTTCCCAAGTACCATTCAGATAAGTAACAACGTAAGGAATCATAGACCATCAAGCATAAACACGAAATCTTAAAATCTACCAGAAAGAAAAGGCAAAATATCTAGAGGACGAAAAAAAACACAGAAAATTTTAAAAGAGGGCTTCACCTCAGCAGAAATGTATGCTAGAAAACAACTGTTAATGTGTTCAGTAGGGAAACAGCGGTCACCTTAGAACTTTACATTCAGCTAAAGGAGCTCTGGTAGCGTAGTGCTTACGCATTGGGCTGCAAACCTCAGGGTCAGCAGTTCGAAACTCCCAGCTGTTCCACGGGAGAAAGATGAGGCTTTCTGCTCCCGTAAGGATTTACAGCCTCGGAAACCCTATGTAGGGTCACTATGAGTCGGAACCAAACCGACTCCACAGCACATAACAACAAAGGAAATGTTCATGACAACTGAGGAAGGAACAAACATAGTTCCAACCATAAGATGAGTCATCACTTCAGACCCTAAGCAAACCCTAAGCCTAAAACAACAAGAAAATCACCCCGAGGGAATGCATAAGATACAAGATGTAACGACAGACACAGAAACTTAATTTAAATAGTTAAATGTAATCAGCCACTGTGTTTTAAAAAGGTATACTCAACTTCTGGTTTGTTTGCGTGTGTGTGTGTGTGTGTGTGTGTGTGTTCTGCATGTAAAATTAATAGGCTAGGTAGCAATAAAAATATTTATAGAAGGGTTTGTTTCGTTCAGCAAACGTTTTCTATTAGGGTCAGACAGCAGTTCACGTAAGCTCTTTGGGAACTACTCAACTCTGTGAAACGCTGTCAAGTCGGTTCCAACGCACAGCGAGCCTGTAGAGGGTTTCCGAGGAATGGTTGGTGGGTTTGAACCACCAGCTGTGCAGTTCACACCAGTGCTTATCCCCCAGCGCCACACCAAGATCCATAGACAGCTGTCAATGAACGGGAAGGTTGTCTATCAAATTCCGGTCCTCACAAATAGACAACATACAGTCTGGGGAGTACACACAGGAGTATCTCTGAAACTCAGACCATCCTAGGTCACAAAAGGCAACTCGGCAGATTTCAAAGACTGACATATATTATTATGTTTATGCAATTAAATTAGATGTCAACAATAAAAACGCATTGTAAAAGAAAATCTACATGTACAGAACCCTCAAACGCACCTCAGTTAACTCACGAATCCAAAAGGAAGTAACAATGGAAAACTACACAAACAAAACTCATCAACAACGAAAACACAACATATTGTGAGGGACACTCCAGTAAAGCGATACTTCGGAGAAAATTTTAAGGGATCTGTTTAAATCTAAAAATAAATAAATAAATAAGATGCTGAGTGCCCCAATGAAGCTTTTTAAGTAAATAAATTTAGAAAAGGTAGAAAAATGGAAATAAAGACAAAAGCAGAAATTATTTAAATAGAGAAATGAGAGAAACTAGATCTTTGAAAGGTCCGTAAAATGAATACTCCTTTGGCAAGAATAATCAAGAGGAAAGTCAAACAGACATATGTACACACGTAAGCACAGGCCTGCAAACGCACGTATGTACACATTTACAGAATTAACTAAAAATTTTTTTGCTAAAATCCCAACTGTTGTTGTTGTTGTTAAGTGCCGTCAAGTCGGTTCCGACCCATAGCAACCCTGAACAGGCTGTAAATTTCCAAGGCTGTAAATCTTTACGGGAGCAGAAAGCCTCATCTTTCTCCCGCAGAGCAGCTGGTAGTTTCGAACTGCTGACCTTGCGGTTCACAGCCCGATTAGTAACCACTACACTACAGAATTAACAGCAGATCATAAATACAGACAAGAGAGATTCTTAGATTCAAAAAAAGAATAGTATTAACAACTGTATGCCAATAAATGTTAAACCTTCCATGAGATGAATATACTCCCTCAAAAGAAAAATTACAAAAAGTGATTCACGAAGAAAAACTCCTGAATAAACCCTTAACAATTGTGTAATATTCTATTGCCGTGTAAAAACTTTACCACAATCTATTTATTAGCTCCCGGTTCTGGAGGTCACAAGTCAACAAAACTGTCAAAAAAATACTGTTTTTCATAGCAATCCAAACTAAACATATCTAAGAACAAGTCCAATAATATATGCACAAGACCTTGATAAAAAGTTACAAAACATTCTTTAAGGACAAGAGAATAATGAAGAGATGAGCTGTGTTTGTGGATGAAGCACATTGGTGTCATGCCGTTTCCTTGGTGTTTCCTCAAATTAATCTATAAACTCAATGCAACGCCAAACTCTTAGCCTAGACCCTGACAAGCTCATCTTTCAACTCATATGGAGGTGCAAAGGGTAAAAA